TAGGTTCATCTGGCTGACAAGTTCCAAATGGGACGAAACGTACGTCAAACTGGATTCCATTGCTAACCACTATCTTTGTTTGTCAACATAAAAAAAATTACGACCAAATTTGAACAATTCACTCAGTACACAGTTTTCCAATGAAGGTTAAATAAAATAGTGCTAGTATGAAGAAGGACGTAACGTGCTCCTTGGCCTTCCTCTTTTCCACTTCACTTTAGTTTGGACTTGCCTCCTGATGCAGTTTGATGATTTGCGTAATGTATGTTTTATCCATTTCCATCGTCTTTTCCTAATTTCCACTTCACCTGGAAGTTGGTTTGTTGTCTCCCACAGAAGGCTGTTGTTGATGGTATCCGTCCAATGAATGTTGAGTATCTTGCTTAGACAACTATTTATGAATACTTGCATTCTCTTGATGGTGGTTGTGGTAGTTCTCCACTTTTCATCTCTGTGCTATAGAACTAAGTGTGTTGATGTTCGTATTGAATATTGTGAATTTGATATTGGTTGACAGACAGTTGTGTTGAGTTCCATATATTCTTCAATTGTAAGAATGTGGCCCTTACTTTGCTAATTCTCGCCTTTACGTGTGCATCTGATCCCCCTTGTTCATCGATGATACTTCCCAGGTACGTGAAGGTTCTACATTTTCGATAGTTTCTCCATTAAGTGTGATCAGGTTGGTGTTCTACGAAGTAATTACATAAAGTATAATAAACTCAATCAAAAAACGTAAACTATTGTCATCTAAGAAGCAAGAACACATTCATTAGAATGATCTAGTTACCTGTTTAAACATCTAGGTTATTGTTCTTGTAACTATGTATCCATTGTCGTAAATTTTCTTCATTTTTTTGTTACAACGGTTTTAATTAACTCATTATGCCTGTTAACCGAATGAGGTTTCATCAATTTGTTTACAGGCTGTCATTGACACCAATGACACCATTATGATTTGAGTACTTTTTTTCTTCTTGTATTGTTCTTTCAAGAAATGAGTAGATGATTAATATGGAATACATGGATGTACGGTGATGAAAACTGTATCGTGGACAATGACTGACGGATGAATAAGGATGTCAGCTAATCACAATTTGTATGTTTGTTTCAGATGGGGGATATCTGCTATTTCATTGATTCAAAAATGGAGGATCCTGTTGCAGTTTTGCATCTATTGCACTGAAAATTCTTCACTGTAGTCAAATATATGACATTGAGCAATGTCAGTGGTTTAAAAGTTAAGCATTCAAGTGGGAGATTGTTAGGTCCTGTGTTCGAATCTTGTGAATATGCACTCCTAAGGAGTCTAATACTAGGACGAAACGGTCGTCCAGTAATTCTAGGTTTTTCATGGTAGTTTAACTTCAATTGACTCATGATCTCAACTATTGATATTACTGTAATCTCCATAAACCCCATTCAACTGTTATGGTACAATTTCAAACCCTACTCCAGTTATATGAGTTTACGTCATAGTTTTCTCACATAACTACATTATCACTAAAAAAAAGCCTCAACGTTAATCAATCATCGGTTATCTACTTAGGAATTATTCACTCAATTGTCAATCAAATAGCTTTAAGGCCAATCAAGCATGTTTATCATAAAGTAAGCGATAGGGTGGTTCTTGTGTCCAATCTTAACTTATAAATAGACATAATCAGTTGTAGAGTAGTTAAAAACTAACCGATTGTTATCTGCTAGACTGGATAATGTACAGTGTGCAGTGTGAAATCGAACGTCGTATTTTCAAGCTTCTATAGAGAGCATAAAGAGATGAAATTACCGATTACAGCGTGGATATTTCATTAATGAATAATAAATTTATTCAAGTTAACATCACCATTCATTCCACAATAGTTCAAGGACTTGTGTTGGAGACGTTTGGAAGAAAGTTAGAGACGGTTAAACCAAAACATGGCATCAGTCTATAAAGTCACTAACTTTTAGTCTGAGCCATGTTGATGGTAGGTGCAGACTACTTGGTTGGAGTCCACGTGACTATCGTAACCAATAGTTGGAGACTGTGTGTGACATGGTTCAGAATCGATCACAATGGCGTATGTGTATACATTGTGATAATTATCAGTACACGGTTGTAGAGATTGTTATTTTCATTAAAGACAATGAAAGGTAGTCATACAACATCATGGACTGATTGAAATTACACTTTAACACCACTGGATACCGACCTAATAGACTAGTGGTTAAGTATTCACGCAAGAGAAATCGAAGTTCCTGGGTTCGGATCCTATGTGCAAGGTTGTGGACGCACACTGTTGAGGAATTGCTTACTAGGACAAAACAGCCATCAAATACTCAAAACAAACCGATAGCAATTAGAACAATGACAAATTTATTTAAAAGCAATTTTTTCTTCTTCGACACCTTAACAAAACCGAAGAAAAGCATAGTTTAATTAAATTGATCACAGGGAACAACAACAACGACAACAACAACAAAACAGAGGTTAACCATTGTTCTTTTGTTTACGTATGTATCTATATATATACATATACATATATGTTCATGTGCATATTCGATTCATTCATACTACTATTCTATTCACTACTAACATTACCCTATTTAATAGTAGTATTGTTCATTATCCTAACAAGTGAATTATGACAATTTTCTCTTCTTGTTCTTCTTCTTTTCCTTTTCTTATTATATTAAAACAGATGGAAATGTAATCGTAGACAAGTGGGCATACATGCACACATACATACATACATACATACACACACATACATAGACACAAGCATAGTCGGTCGTAGAACAGCGCTCCTCGAATTCGAATTGTTATGATAAACTTAAAGAGATTTCTAACATTCAATGTTGATGAAGTATGTAGGCATATACATATATACATATATATATCATGTCTTCATTGAAAGTAAGTTATATAATTGAATTTATATTTAATAAATGTATTCATATCAATGGTGAATAACAACACTGAAACAGTTTAGTTTACCTATTATGATTATGAATAGAATTGACAATTAATCGATAATTATTATCTAAAAGAAGTATGATGTAAGTTTAGATTACCATAGTAAATTTGGAAGTATTGAATGGGACTTCTTAGCTCGAGACTGATAGGTTCTATGTTCGAACCCCATAGAATTGGATCGTAGATATGCATTGTTGAGGAGTGTCATATTAGGATGAAACGAATATCCAATGATTCCAAGTTTTCCATGGTGGTCTAGTTTTAATTGACTCATGATCTCAACTATTAAAATCATTATAATATCCACAAAACTCCTCTCTGATTAATATTCTAATAGTTGAAATTCATGTAAATTAGACTATCATGAAAAACTTGAAAGAATTAGATGATTGATTCGTTCTAGTATGGAACTTCTCAGCAGTGTACAAGATCATAGATCGATAGAAGTTAGACATTATTACTGTTGAATATCAGCTCAGTGATCAATAGGTTAAGAGTTTTCATGTGAGACCGAAAGTCCTTGGTTTGAATCCTCCTTCAGGGATTATGAACGCGTACAGTTAAATCCAGCTGACGAGTCACAAATAGGACGGAACGCGTGTCAAACTGGATTCCCCTGCTAACCTCCATCCAGTTTTGATCGAATAATCATATGAAAACTATCAGGTAACTAAAAAATAAAGAGGAAAAAAGAAGAAAAACGAAGAGAGAAAAGAGGATTTATTTTGATTATTTCATAGTTTAATCCTACTTTATTCATGTCACATGGGATAGATGAAATGAAACAAAAGAAAAGAGAGTAAAGTATAGGATAAATGTTATTGTTAACATACCTAGATATTAACTACATATATTCTGTGATGTTAATGAGTTTATAATAATTTCCTCTTTTCTATTTTTCTCCCTAATTCCCTTTCTTTCTTTTTTCTTTTTAATTTATTAATCCTTTGTTTGTTTTCTTTCTCTTGAGTTTAGTTGATCATTTTTAATTATTAAAATCTCCACGATCCACCACCCCCCCCTTCTGATTATAATCATTCTATGCTCACTAGTGACTGTTTCCGAAAATGATTGAATGGAGTTCTAGTGAGAAGTAATGATCAATGGAATTGAACCGGGTTTGTTTTCAGATAGTAACTCACTGAAAACAATGGTGGATGAGTCGCTCAATTTTATGGATTAGATGAAGTTAGACATTAACGCCGTTGGATACCTGTCAACTCAATGGTCTATAGGTTAAGCGTTTGCGCGTGAGACTGATAGGTCCTGGGCTCGAGTTTCGCAGGGGGCGAGGTCGTGGATGCACACTGCTAGGGAGTCCCACAATAGGACTAAACGACAGTCCAGCGCTTCCAGGTTTTCCATGGTGGTCTACCTTCAACTGACTCATGGTCTCTACAATTGACACTTTTAATTTGCCCTTTTTTTCTTAAAAAAATAAATCGATAAAATTGTTTTCATTTGAATAAGCTAAGCTATACGGCTATGTAGAACTGAATGTCTCATATGAGACTGAAGGTTCGCTATTGATATTATGAATGAATCAGTATTGCTTTGGCAAGTTTTGTTAACTGTTCATGTGTAAAATTGATTTGCTAGTTAACCGATTTCATTCATACTGGTCGTTACTTTTCAGTGTTCTCAAGGGCTATTGTCATTGGAACATTGTAAGACATTTGGCTGTCATGTAAGCGGAATAGGTCAACTTTGGCCTGTTCGTGTTGGGCATAATTGATCCACGCGATCATTGATCGGAATAACTATACATGTGGTGTGAATGAGTATGTGAATGGGGCGAATGGTTCACCAGGGTGCTTGATACCTGTGTCGTTGCGCCACACGGTTGAGCTGTACTATTCAGATTGTAGTGTTAAAGCGTATACGGTGTCTGGTTCTCCTGTGAAGCGAGATTGAACTGTACTGTTTGAGTTGTTACGTGAAAGTCTGAATGGCGCCTGATTCCTCTGAAAACCAATGTAAAATTACCCTAGCCAACAAGGGTATATTGTATAACTAACTAAATAACTTTCATTTGAATATACTACTTAAAGAAGTAGGATAAAGTTGTATGATCTAGACTCCATAGATGATCTTGAACTTCTATTGTACATGCAACAAAAATGTAGATGATGACTAGTTTAGTAGTAGTAGTAGTAGTAGTAGTAGTAGTAGTAGTAGTAGTAGTAGTAGTAGTAGTAGTAGTAGTAGTAGTAGTAGTAGTAGTAGTAGTAGTAGTAGTAGTAGTAGTAGTAGTAGTAGTAGTAGTAGTAGTAGTAGTAGTAGTAGTAGTAGTAGTAGTAGTAGTAGTAGTAGTAGTAGTAGTAGTAGTAGTAGTAGTAGTAGTAGTAGTAGTAGTAGTAGTAGTAGTAGTAGTAGTAGTAGTAGTAGTAGTAGTAGTAGTAGTAGTAGTAGTAGTAGTAGTAGTAGTAGTAGTAGTAGTAGTAGTAGTAGTAGTAGTAGTAGTAGTAGTAGTAGTAGTAGTAGTAGGTCTCATCATACACAAAGAGAAAAGCAAGATTCTCCTATATACTACAACATGCACTAATCAAATCATACTCAATGGAGAAGCTCTGGAGAATGTAAAAAACTTTATATATCTGTGCAGCATCATTGATGAGCACAGTGAACTTGATACAGATGTGAAGGCGCGGATCGGAAACGCAACATTAGCATATCTACAACTGAAGAACATCTGGAATTCAAAACAACTATCAACAGCAAAGTCAAAATTTTCAATACAAATGTCATAACAGTTTTACTGTATGGGGTGGAAACTTGAAGAACTACGGAAGACATCATCCAGAAGATATAAAAGTTTTTTAACAGCTGTCTATGGAAAATACTTCTGCTCCGCTGACCAGACACTATCAGCAACAACCTACTTTGGGAGAGAAGAAACCAGGTCTTAGAGGAGAAAGAAATCAGGAAGAAGTGCTGTAAGTGGATAGGACACACATTGAGGAAAGCACCCAAGTGCGTTACCAGGTAAGCCCTTACATGGAATCCTCATGGTGAAAGGAGAAGAGGAAGACCAAAGAACACGTTACTCCAAGAAATAAAGACACACATGAGAAGAATGAACAACAGTTGAATATAACTAGAATGGAAGGCGGAGGACAGAATAGATTGAAGAATGCTGATCGACGGCCTATACTCAATTTTGGGGGTGGGGTAACAGGCGTAATTAAAATAAGTAAGTAATTACTAAATCTCTTTGAATATAGAACACCAAGTCGATATCTTGAAATCTTTCAAAGCGATTAATAAACAGTGAAACCCCAGTCGTCCGAAGTTTGCTGAATCTGTTGCTATCAAGTGTCAGAAATCTGGTTTTTTTTGTGTTCCAAAAGAGATGATTCTTAGTCTTTCTTTACCTTGGTGATAAATATTCTTTAATTATATCATGAAAATTTGTTCAACTTTTTCTTTTAATTAGTTACGTAATCATGTTTTTTTATTTCGACTGTCTTCTAGATTACCAGTCCTAATTCACTGAGCTTTACTCATTTTATTCCTATCAGAGTCACTGTGACGGAAATAACATTAGGAGGGTACTGAAGCTAAAATTGGAAGACTGTTAGATTGTGGTAGAATGTCTTCGCAATGGCTCCTAATGCTTCGCATTTCACGCGTCTAGATAACCACTTTTAGATAAATCCCAACGAAATTTAAATCTGAAGAAAAAATAGGAAGCATTGGTTACAGTTACCGCTGTCAGCATCTAACGTGGATTACTCCTTCGACGTATCAAAGTACTATGGCTACTTTGAAGACCGTATAACACAAACGACGTTATTATGGAAATATGTTAGTAAGAATGAGTACAGAGACGATAGTGAGATCACCACCGCATGCGCCAGTCCATGGCATACGGTTAACTGATGTGCGTTGGTTGTCATTGACCTTGACGGCGATCGGTGATCTGTTGAATATTCAGTGATCCAACTACCGGATAATTTGGCTAGGGCTCAGTGACATTTCACTGGCCATATACCATTTTGTAATTATGATTTTTAAATATTACAGGTTGTAAGTAGTTAGTAAGTATCAGACGAAATAAAATGAATTCAAGCTATTCTGATCAAATATTTATTCTTGATGTCTGCAAAATACGATTATATATATGCCAGCATTGCGCTAAATGATTAGCTGTTTCCATTGCCTTATCTGAATATCACCACTTACTCACTTAGTTACACCTGTTACTCATAATGGAGCATAGGCCACCGACCAGCATTCTCTAACCCTCTCTGTTCTCTCCCTTACTTTCTAGTTCTATTCAATTTTTGTTCATTTTTCTCATGTCTGTCACCATTCCTCAGCGTAATGTGTTTTTTGGTCCTCCACTTCTCCTTTCGCCTTGAGGATTCCATCTGAGGGCTTGTTTCGCGACGTAGCTGGGTACTTTCCTCAATGTGTGTCCTATCCACTTCCAGCACATCTTCCTGATTTCTTGCTCCACTGGAATCTGGTTTGTTCTCCCCTACAGTAGATTGTTGCTGATAGTGTCTGACCAACGAATCCGAAGTATTTTGTGTAGGTAATCGTTAATAAACACTTGTATCTTCTGGAATATTGTCTGGTCCCGCTACTTTGCCGCTTTTGATTTGTCTCGTGGATTAGACCTTTAGATCGAATGGCTCCGGATGTGATCCCCTAAGAAAATCACCTGGGTAGTATCACAGCCCACACACACAAACCAACTAACTTGTGTGGCGTATATGTATTCGATGCCTCATTCTACCAATATTTCATCGTTCTTCTGAACGATATCAGAAGAAGAAATGAAAGCTCCACGATCAAACCATCCAGCTCAGAAAACAAAACTCCATCAAATGTATATAATCTATTGAGAAGCAACACACTGCACTGGTAATTTCACATTAAACCATTCACTATGTTCATTACCTTATTTGAACATTATCGCTATGGTTGGCTTGATCAACTACAAGTTACCATGTTGAATCTTTTGTAAATATTCTCATTACAAAGTGTTCATATTTCACTTTCTATGAAAAGTATTCACTTCATCCATATTGACCTATTTCATTGTTATCACTGAGTAGGTTTATATGAGTTCAAATATCGCATCATGCAATCATCAACACAAAGTTGACTGTTCCATATTATTGTATTAGAAAGATGAAAATCACATGTTATGAAGTTAGTAGTAGGTGTTAACTTGTACATTGAAACTCGATACAGACAGGCTGGTAGAGTTATGAATAATTGCATGTGTCTCTTGGATACACACCCACCCACACCCACACCCACACCCACACAGACACACACAGAATTCACAGATCAGATGATAATGATGACCCCTAAATATTAATGTATGAAATCCACATCCATATCCACACCCACACTCACACTCACACACCCACAAGGGTATAAACAGATGAGAGTAATGTTCCTCGTGTCAGTAAATTCACCCGCATTCAATCCTGTTGTCCGTTGTATAGATGCCTAGTTGTCATGACAATGAAGCTGATGACAATAAATTTCTCATTTATTTAATTACCCCTTTTTCAAACGAGTCAGAATTATGATTTATTTTAGGCTATTTTGATTACTATCACTGTAGTAAACGAGAACACAAATGAGGAACAACTGAATGTTTTTGAATCTCTTAGTAAAATCTGAGAATTATACAGTAGATACTTCATTTCAAAATGTCAATCACTTGTCTCAGACCTGATTGTTCCTTCATTTCCACACCAATCACTCTCTGTTCTTGTTCTATTTTCTTTGGTCTTCTTAGCCTTCTGCTGCCAGGCATTTCACTTTCCATTCATGATCTATACAACTTCTATCTGTCGACATCAGTAGCACATACCACACCACTACTACTACTACCACCACATTGTAGACACTTGTCATTATAATGATTATGATGTGATGTGGATGATAAGAGAGGTGTTCGTTGTTATTTCTTCATATTGATGAAGTTTATTGAAATTCATTATATTTATCAATCTACATGTATGTTATGAAAGGATTGACAATAGTTTGAGACAGAAGTTTCCTATTCATTTCATTTAGAACTTAACAACTGGTGATATGCTATTGTACACTAGTGGGATTGTCGTCAGTTAGTTTTCAGTGGTCGTCTAATTGAGATCGATTCGTGATCTTAATAAAAGCGTTCACGTGCGAGACCGATGTTCTTGGGTTCGAATCCAGCGAGTGGGATCGTGGATGCGCATTGGTGAGTTGTCCCATAATACGACGAAATGGTTGTTCAATGCTTCCAGATTTTCCATGGTAGTCTAGCTTCAATTGACTCATGATCTCAACGATTGAAATTACTAGATATTTGTGAAGAATTACTCATAATTCATTTCTATGCGAGTTTCATTTTGATCATTTTGTCTAGAGGGATACTGATGTTTTCATAATTAAACCATCATGTCAAGGAGATGTAGTTTAAACAAAACTATCTTCTTCGGATGTAAGTCTTCTGTGCGAGATCGTGAATGCGCACTGCTGAGGAGTCCCATACTAGGACGAAACAGCCATCCAGTGCTTCCAGGTTTTCCATAATGGTCTAGCTTCATTTGACTGATGATTTCAATCTGTAAAATTTCTAAAATCTCCACAAACCCCTTCTGATAATAATCATCTGCTCACTAGTGGCTGACTTCAAGGGATACTCCTGGAGTTCTAGTGGGAAGCCGTTACCAGTGGAGTTCAACCAGGTCTGTTGTGGGATATCACCTCACTGAAGACAACGGTGTACCGTGGCGCAACTTCGTGGATTAGTTGAAGTTAGACATTAACACCGTTGGATGCCGGCTCAGTGGTCTAGTTGTTAAGTGTTTGCGCGCGTAACCAGTAGGTCCTGAGATCGAATCGCGCGAGGTGCGGGATCGTGGGTGGACGTTGCTGGAGAGTCCCACGGCCATTTAGTGCTCCCAGGTTTCCCATGGTGGTCTAGCTTCAACTGACTCATGATTTTAATCTGTGTAATAAAGATTCGTTTAATCAAAACGTTCCTGTGTCATTATGCAGTATAAGATCAATATGTATGCAACTCAATTAACATTGTCTTGATAGTGATGATTAAAGTATATTCCATTATCACTTCAGAAGAACTTCATTCAATCATCAAGTAACTTTTTTTTATTGAGATCATGAATCAATTGATGTTAGACCACCATTGAAGACATGGTAGTACTGGATGGCCGTTTCGTCCTAGAATGGGACTCTTCAACAGTGCACATCCACGAATGAGAACGCTTAATCTCTAGATCACCAAGTAGCTAGTAGTTACACAGTTTACTCCAATATTTTTAACTTGAACATTTTCAACATGGTTGTATGTACATACACACATATATATTCATTTCGTTGAAAATAACTTCCAAGACTATTTCCATACTGAAATTTGCATCAACAACAACAACAACAAAAAATGAAAACACAACATGCTGGTACAAAATATAATAATAATTAATACGGATCATATGGATAAATGATGACGACAGATACATA